TACGAGCCTCCATCCATAGTTCTTCAGGCACTCTGTCCACCAAATCGAGTTCCTTAAATCTGTTCTTCACTTCCACCCTGTATTCATAAGGGATTGGGTTTTCCTGACTAGGAAATCAACCCTGAGTGCTCACTGGAAGGACAGATCCTGAAGCTGAGGCTCCAATACTTTGACCATCTCATGAGAAGAGAAGACTCCCTGGAAAAGACCCTGATGTTGGGAAAGTGTGAAGGTAAGAGAAGAAGGGGACGACAGAGGATGAGATGGCTGGACAGGGTCATTGAAGCGACCAACATGAATTTGACACAACTCTGGGAGGCAGTGGAAAACAGGAGGGCCTGGCGTGCTCTGGTCCATGGGGTCACGAAGAGTCGGACACGACTAAACGACAATGATACCTGACTAGCCCAGTGTTTTTTCCTACTTTCTTCAGTTTAAGCTTTGCTATAAGAAGCTGATAATCAGAGCCGCAATCAGCTCCGGGTCTCGTTTTTGCTGACTTATAGAGAGCTTCTCCATCTTTGGCTGCAGAGAACATAATCCATCTGATTCCGGTCTTGCCCATCTGGTGATTTCCATGTGCAGAGTCGCCTCTTATGTTGTTGAAAAAGAGTCTTTGTGATGACCAGCTTGTTCTCTTGACAAAACTCTTATTAGCCTTTGCCCTGCTTCATTTTGAACTCCAAGGCCAAACTCCCCTGTTGTTCCTTTTATCTCTCGACTCCCTACTTTAGCATTCCAGTCCCCTAGAATGAGAAGAGCATCTTTCTTTGGTGTCAGTTCTAGAAGGTGTTGTAAGGCTTCATAGAATTTGTCAGTTTTAGCCTCTTGAGCATGGGTGGTTGGTGTATAACCTTGGATTACTGTGATGTTGAAAGGTCTGCCTTGGATATGCGTTGAAATCATTCTGTCATTCTTCATTACTATCTCTATAGTCCACGCCTTCCGCGGCCACCATGACGTCATCTTCCTGAGCCGGTAGGGGAAGAACCACACCTCCCCCGGGGATTAAAAACCAGCCTCGCGGAGGGCGAGCGCTTGGGATCGCGACGGGAAGGCAAAATGGAGGCTCGCCGTGCTTTGCATTTTGTCTTTAAAGTTGGCGACCGGGCGCAGACGGCGCGTTTCTACCGGGAGCTACTGGGCATGCGCGTAAGTGGAGGGGGGGAGGCAGAGGAAACCCTTGAAGTGGCCCGAGGCTAAAATAGGGGTGGTGACGTCAGCGAGTACGGGTCGTTTTGGTGGCCAAAACACCTTGGTAAGGGGTGTTTTCTGCTTACGGCCCGGTTCCTACAGGGAGCGATTCGGACCAATCTTATTGGATGTTTGCTTTATTTTGAGTCTATGAAGCTTTCCCTTAATATTATTAAGGGCTCCATTGACAGATTAGAGTTGATTGAAAGCCTTTTTCCTTCCAAACCGTAATGATTTGTTTCCCATTAAAAATGGGAAACAATAAATAAACAATAAATATCTCTGTTAGCAAATCCCATCTGGAAATCTCATTTAAATTATAATAAATAGCTTTTCATCATAAAATGCAGCTGAAACCTCTTGCTCTGATAGATAATGTCTTCTGTTTTGTTAATTGCCCTGCTAAATACTGTATTAGTATTGTTTATATATATTGTTTATATATAAAATAAAATCACACTTGTACACATATAAGAGGTAGCCATGTTAATCTGTGCAAGCATTAAAATAAAATCACACTGTTGTACACATATAAGAGGTAGTCATGTTTAGTCTGTGCAAGCATTATAAGTAAAAACAAAATAGTAAAAGAACAAATTAAAAGTCAAAAACATGGTGGCACTAGAACATGGCAAATATACATGGCATCAAAATTTAGATATCAAAGTACAGGGATCATGGCTGGTTGGTGAGAAAGGCAGCGGGAGTTTAACATTGTGGTGATAGTGCCTTTAATATGCAGGTATTTTATTTAAGCTTTTGCTGTAAAGGGTGTGAGAACCTCAGTCAACAAATAATGGTAGAATATAATGAATGTTGGTTAGACTGGCTTTTTTACAGTTGCTAACGAACTTTCCTTCATTACACACTTTGCTTCGTAATCAGTTCTAATGGTGTGTGAATTACCCCAGGCAACGGATGAGCGCAGGAGGGGAGGAAGACCCAATACGAGATGGATTGACACCCTTTAAGGAAGCCACAGGCTTGCTTTTAAAAGACCTGCGCAGGGTGGCTGAGGACGGGGCATTTTGGAGATTGCCCATTCAGAGGGGTGACTAGAGACACCTAACAACAAATAATTTTGTCTACTGCTGAACCAAACCCTTGACAGACTTCCCTCCTTGTATTTGAACCAACAGGTGCTAAGACATGAAGAATTTGAAGAAGGTTGTAAAGCCACGTGTAATGGGTACGTTTCCTTTTTGGCGGTTTATCCTCATTTGACCCACACCTTTCCTGTTGGGACCCAGTGAAACCAGGAGCCTGGTGGGTGTGGTTGATGTCATTATCAGCCACAAGGAAGCTTTTACAACCTTTCCAAATCTCATTATTTTTGTCCCTCTAGCACCGTTGTGGGTTTACCTCCCTTGCTGGCTGGTTGTTTTAAGCTTCTGTGCTTTGATCGGTTTTCTTCCTGGGTTATTATTAATTGAAGGGTTTATTAGATTGGATTCTGAACATATCGTTAGGGTCCCTCTTCCCCCATAGTATCATACTTTTAATTAAAATCATACTAGGCTTGGATACCTTCAGAAATGTTAAATACATTATTTTTAATTCATCCAGCTAAATGCTGCTGGGACTCCTTGTTGCTTCCCATTGGCTGGCCTTCTGTGATGTCAGGGAATGTTCCCAAACATTTGAACTGCATTGCATGTTAACGTTAGCAAACCAGAATGCTGACAAGCACTGCCGTTCTGCCACAGAGAACGGGAGATCTGGACGTGACGGGGTTAAGACGGAGAACTAATAGGAACAAAGGAATTTATTTTGTGCCACCTCAGAATATATTGGATTTTCAGTCTTGTCAAGAATAGGATGAAGGGAAGGAGACAGCGTATAGGGTGGGGGGAAAGTAAGAGCTATTTCTCTGTGTTTCTGGCATGGTATGTGAATTAAGATTGCTGTGCTTCTAGTCCCTATGATGGCAAATGGAGTAAAACGATGGTGGGCTATGGTCCGGAGGACAATCATTTTGTCGCAGAGTTGACCTACAATTACGGTGTCGGGAATTACCGCCTTGGCAACGATTTTCAGGTAGGCCTTGGTCCCTAAGAAATCTGTAGTTTTGGAATGTGGGAAGCTCTCTTGTAATCTTCTGACGGTACAAGACAGGGTGTCTGGCTTTTTGAAAGAGAATTTCTGCTTTTCTTGTTCCAGGGGATGACCATCGCCTCTAGCCGTGCTGTGAGCAATGCCCAAAAACTGCAGTGGCCGCTCAAGGAGATTTCGGCCGGCATCTATGAAACAGAAGCGCCGGGAGGGTACAAGTTTTTTCTGGAGGACAAAATGCCACCCAAGGAAGGTAAAGGAAGTCGCCAGCGCCTGGGAGTCTGTTTATTAACGTGCTGTGTTTGGGATCATGACGGATTCCTTGAGACCTATTTCTTAAAAGAAACAGGGGATCAAATATTGCTCTCGAGGATTAGGTCTTGGTCTGCTTGAGCCAAGTTTAGCAAAGCTGAATTCTTCCCCTGTTTCCCCTCCTAAAAGCTGTGTGCTTTTTCTTCTCCAGATCCTGTTGTGAAAGTGACTTTGGCTGTGTCCAGCTTGCCGAAATCCGTGGACTACTGGTCAAAGTTGTTGGGGATGAAAGTTTATGACACGGATGAGAGCAAGCAGAGAGTTCTCCTGGGATACGCGGAGAACCAGGTGTGGGGAGTGGCCGTGAGGCTCCTTTGAGGGGACATGAATTATGTTGGGTCCCAAGATTACACAGTGATTATTCCTGGCTCTGGGGATAAGATGCTGCATCTCCCCGTTTCAGTCCGTTGTTTTTCTCACATCACCGTACACTTGGGGTCGGGGAATCTGATGTGTTTTCCATCTTGGCTTCTGAAAAGCTTCTGCCAATCCTCCCACTCGAAAGGGGCTTCTCATAATAAATTGTGCATTGCTTCCCATTTTTGCTTGTCTGCAATCTGGATCAACAGAGGCACAAAAAGTTCTTTTTTTTCCTACAACATCCTTGGCTAACCTATTTTCCTTCCTCTGTGTCCACCTCTCTATTTTTATTCTCCAGTGTAAACTGGAACTGCAGAGCATCGGCAAAACGGTGGACCACGGGACATCCTTTGGGCGTATCGCCTTTTCCTGCCCCAAAGAACAGGTCAGGATTTTTTAATGTTCCTAAAGGGTTAACTTGGCTCTTTTTAATAATGGGTTAATTTTGCTCCATTTTTCTAAGCACGTGAAAATAATAATGACAATACAGTAATGCACAATATAAATGTAACAGTTATTATAAAAACGGTCTCCTAGAGTTTTTATAATAACTGTGTTAAATTTATATTGTGCTTATCATTATTATTATTGCCATGATTTATATTCCACCTTTCATGATGCAAATGTGGTCTACAGCCCTTATCAAGAGATTGCTGAATAGGCTGTGATTATTACTGTTAACCTGCCTTTTCAGGATCTGTATCTTTCCAAGGTTCATTTCTAAATTTGTTTATTTTATTAAATTCAACCGTGGGGGAGTTAAAGCATCATCCGTTTGTGAACCAAATACAAGATCTATCCCACAAGTTCTGGGGTGGCGGTGGGGAGCTATCAAAAATTCCAAAACCAGAGTGACACCATTTCCCCCCTAAGGGTGGAGCAGGATGAGTTAATTTTACAAGCCATACGGAAACAAAATTATATAATGTAGTTCATGAGTTCTCTTTAATCAGTTGAGCACATGATTTTAGGCATGGTAATTGAGAGATTTGCATTTGGTTTCGTTTGGAAAGCATATTTTTTAAATAGCCAGTATAGTGATTTTTTGTAGGGTGAGTGGGATTAAAATGCATTCATATCAAATCACTGTACAATTTTCTCAGCTCATCTGTTCTGTCCCTCCACCCCTGTGTGAGTATCACCTCTGGGTTTCACTGTGCTCTCTTTTTCATGTATCCGGATTCCGGTTGGGCCTTCAGCTGCCCGGGATTGAAGCTTTGATGAGGAAAGAGAACCAGAAGATTTTAACCCCACTGGTCAGTCTGGACACGCCAGGGAAAGCGACGGTGCAAGTGGTCATCCTGGCGGATCCTGTGAGTCCCCTTGGGGTCTGACATAAAAAGTGTCAGGGCAATCCCACAGAATAATGAGCCGTGTCAAACCTTCCAGAGCTTCAAACCAGACCTCCTGTCCTATGCAGAAATCCCATCAGGCTGCAAATCAGAGCGCCTGTTCTATGTAAAAGTATCCCAATCTGCAAACCAGAGTACCTGTTTGATGCAAAGCATTTCTTGGGCTTTAAATCCCTTCAAATTTCCAATCACTCCTTGGAAATCAAGGTTGAAATAGCTGGCAGGCTGGATAAGAAACCCCCACTGACCGGAGGCTCCCCTCCTTTGAAGTATCCCAGTCCTTAATGTTCAGAGGTAGACTACCACTGATTATTGAGGTTCAGTTTAACCAGCCAGCATGGCTAGTTTGAGAGATGCATTCCCCAAAAAATGTCTGGTGTGGATTGTATGCTCTTTGGAAGCAGGGAACGCCTCTCAGTTTTAGATGATTCTTGAAATACCGGGCAAGTCATGGTCCTGTGTATGCAAATAATTCCATAATCCATGCCAATCCTGTTTATAATCCATGCTGATCCTGTTTATCTCTCTTCCACCTCTTTTAGGACGGCCATGAAATCTGCTTTGTGGGAGACGAAGCCTTCCGGGAGCTCTCCCAGGTGGACCCAAGTGGCGAAAAACTCTTAGACGAGGTGAGCGTTTCAGGGTTTTTTCCGCATTTCATTTTGAGACCACCATTTTCCAAATATAATACTATTTCGAAGAATAGCTGCTTTTTTATCCTTGTCACTTACGTATGTACAATCCCATTGTCTAGATAAAAATGAAGCAAGCACTGCTGCTTCTCAGGGCTCGGCTTCTTTAAAAGGGTCTAAAAATTTTGCCGTGTTCATGAGATCTAGCAACTTGGACAAGAGAGTCTGAAAGCCAGGTGGAGGGAGCCAGGCTTCAGAGGGAGGAGCTGAAAGACCTACCCATATTATCTTGGAACATGATTTCTAGAACAGGCGCACCCAAACCTCTTCCATGTTTTTTCACTCATTGGAAGCCAGTTAAGAACATTGGTGTGAATGGGTGGTGGCACTATTCATTTTGACAGTTTTTTTGCTGATTCCCTTTGAATCCTTGGGCTTTTTTCCCCTGTGGTCAGATTTATTACACCATGATCGCTGTTGATGCCGTTTTCTCTTTTACCCACATAGGCTATGGCGGCAGACAAAAGCCACGAGTGGTTTGCAAGGCAGAACATCACGAAGCCTTCCGCGTAGCATCGCCAGTGTGCGGTTCCTGGATTAGACGTGGCATCGCCTTATCTCTTGAAGAAGCATCCTCCTCTCACATCACAATGGCCTTTTCGCCTGCTTCCGCCTCTGAATGATGTCATTTCTCTGGAACAACACCTCCTAAGGTTAGGCTGAGATCGAATGGTTCCCAGACCTTTCTGCATCACACCCCTTTTAAAACATAATGATAAATAAATCCTCGCCTCTCTTTTGCTATCATCCAAACACCATTTAACCCTTTTTGAGATTAAAAAAAATGCAAACTTCAAGAATTAGATTTTAAAAAATAGCCACAAATGCCAGTCACAGGTTAATAAAATGTAATTATTATGGATAAATGGTGGAGATAAATTTGAAAATGTGAAATCAAAACCTGTATACCTTTATGATCTCTGTGCATTTTTTTTTTGAGGATGTGTGTTTGTCTATTCCCACCCCCATAATAACTGGAATTCTCTGTTCAGCTTAAATTGAGGATGTGTGTGTGTCTATTCCCACCCCCATCATAACTGGAATTCTCTGTTCAGCTTAAATTAAGACTAGCTGGGCCCCAGAGACTGACTCCGATTCCTCGGCCAGTGCCTGGGAAAATATTAGAATAAACTGTGAAAGTAAAAAAGTGGCATCTCTCAGTCTTTCCCAGTAAAGTTTGGCAAGGGTAGGTGATTAGATGGATTTGGACTACAACTCCCATGATCCACTCTGGCTGGCTGAGGCTACTGGGGGTTGTAGTCCATATGCCCACCTCTGCTGATCTCTTAATCCGTGACATTCTGAGCCGGAATCTACCCCCTTCGTGTGTCTTTCTCTCCAGCTGTCCTATCCCTTTTATTTTATACCTTGTCAACATCACGGGGTCAGGATACGACCCTTAGAGACCAAGGCCAAGATCATCCAGACTCTCCTGTCTTTCCGATCACCCTGTATGGGTGTGGAAGGTGGATGGTGGTGAAGAAAATAAACTGATTTGTTTGAAACGGGGCGCTGGGGGAAGAGCTTTGGGGATGCCCTGGACTGTCAGAAGGATGGACAAAGGGGGTCCTAGATCAAATCAAGACTGGATTATCTCTGGAGGCAGAAATGACACAGCGGGGGCTGCTCTGCTTTGAGCGCATCACGAGAAGGCAGGATGCTCTGGAAAAGAAGACCATCGTGATGGGAAAGGTGGAAAGCAGTAGGGAAAGAGGAAGACCCAATACAAGATGGACAGACTCCCGAAAGGTGTTTGGTATGTTTTTTTTTAGGATTGCAGAACATTCAGGCCCAAAGTGGTACAGTCCCACCCTGACGAGGGCCGTACCGTGTAACTCATCCCCTGGGCCGTTGGCTCTCTTTTTCGAAACAAAAAGCGTTGAGCAAGTTTGGGGCATCAGGCTCTTTTTATTGCCTTAACCGGGCCACGATTAAGAAGTGCGCAGCATTGGATGTTGAGCTCCGTCACGTGGATGATGGGAATGGGGGTACCTTCCTCTCCAGCCACTCCACGGTGGTGAGGGGAAGCTATCGCCCTCCCGTTCTGCAGGCCCCCTCTGGTGTTTGCTCTAGGCCTAGTCTTGCGGGGGGGGCAGGATGGGGCCCCACGGGGTGGTCCATCATCCCCCTCGGCCGTCGCCTGCTTGAAAAGGCGTTCCAGCAGCTTCATTTGTTCCACCACGGCGGCGGTTTTCTCAGGCGCAGGCGGTGGCACGTGGTCATCAGGGCCCCTTCTTTTACGCCCGTGCAAAGGGACTTCCGGGAAATGAGCCGCGTGTCGTGTCTGAACGGGCTGTCCCTGGGATTTCGAAGAACGGGGGGAAAAAGGAACACTCTGGTGAGTCTCCTGCTGGTAATAATAGGAGTAAATAATAATAATTTTATTTATTACAATTTATTTATTCAGCGATTCCCCCCCCCCATAAACTTAAAAAAGAGGTGCCCCTGGCCAGAAATCAGCCTTAAACCAGATTCATAAAAAGGACAGGCTGTGGTAACAGCCTTGTAAAGCTTACCTCTGAGAATGTGCAAAGTACATTTTGATCATAACATCCACTACCCCCATTCCCATTTTTGGGGAGAGAAATAAGACCTTAATTAGGGTACTTTTGATTAAGCATGTTTTGGGCTAGAATGTCTATACCAGCCCCCCATGGCCAAAAGTAGGGAATGATGGGCCTTGTAGTCTTGCTTCTGAAAACCTTCAGATGCCCCTTCTCTCCGCACCCTCCAGGGGCATCTGATATTAAAGCCAACCCATGGAACACTGGGCTGCCTCTGAGAGTGTGCAGAGTGCCTTTTGATCCTGCCACCAAAGCCACACAAAAGACACCCCAGTAAGTCCTCGTCGTCAAAGGAGAGGGAATAAAAAAAAATCAAAGCAAAACCTGGGTTTGGAAAAATGATTGGTGCTTTGACGGGAGGCTCTGGGGAGGGGGCTCTCTGCAGGCGCTCAGAGTCACGCTTGGTCGCGCCGTATGCCCGGAAAGGGGCGTGGCCACAGAAGGGAAGGGGCGGGGCTAAAGGGAGTGGGCGGGGCGGAGGCACGGAATGGAGCCGGCCCGTGACGCGCGCGCTTTTTTTCTCCCGGGGCGGGAAGAGTCGTTCCCATTGGGACGCCATGGCGCTTCCTTGTGAGTAAGGGACGCGCGAGATCGCGGGGGTGGGGGTGGGGGGAAAGGAAGAGCCACGTGGTCTGTGCAAAAGCCTCGGTCTGGCTTCACTCCCGCGGCGTGCATGGAGGGTTTACTCGCGAGTCAGCTCCCATGCCTTGGTTGCAAACTTCTCCTCACACACACACCCCTCCCCCGAGGAAGCGGATCTGGGTTTGGGAGGATCGCCTTTGACCCGGGAGTGGGGTGGGCGTGCTTCCTCGCGAGTCAACCCTGTCCCCCCCCCACCTCCCGGGCCATCCTGAGCCCACCAGGCAGGGCTGGGGATCGGAGCTCGTAGGGGGGGGTGGAGGTGGCCCCGAGCCTTAGCAAAGGCCGGCGTGGGGGGGGTCTCCTTACCAGG